AGCTTTTACCACGCCGTTTGGGTTATACCAATTTGTTATGCTTCCTTGGTGTTGTTCGGGGCTCCGGCCACTTTTCAGCATCTCATGGACCGAATATTCCGGCCGCACGCAGCTGCATGTTTGGATGACATAATCATTTATAGTAATGATTGGCAGCGTCATATGCAGCATGTGGAGGTCAGGTATATGGGCTTCCACTTGGGTCATGGACAGGTGTGTCCCCAAATTGATAAGACGGCAGCAGTTGCAACCTGTCCGTGGCCCAAGACCAAAAAGGAGGTGAGGCAGTTCCTGGGGTTGGTGGGATATTATAGAAGGTTTGTACCTAATTATTCGGACCTCTCCAACCCGCTGACTGACCTCACTAAAAAGGAAGCACCAGATCCGGTCCAGTGGACGGAGCAGTGCCAGCAGGCTTTCACCCAGATAAAGGCTGTTCTGTGTGGCGGGCCACTTTTGCACTCCCCTGATTTTCTCTCCCCTTTTTGTTTGGAGCGGTCCTGTCTTAGGAGATAGAGGGTGAGGAGCGGCCGGTGCTGTACCTCAGTCATAAGCTCTCGAAGAGAGAGACGATGTACATCACCATAGAAAAGGAGTGTTTGGCAGTTCTCACCCTCCACTATTATCTCCTGGGAAGGGAGTTCACTCTCCGTTCGCACCACGTGCCCCTGCAGTGGCTCCACCGTATGAAGGATACCAATCACCTGTGGATCACCCGTTGGCATCTGGCACTACAGCCCTTTAAATTCAAGGTGGTCCACAGGCCGGGGGTGCAAATGGCTGTAGCTGACTTTCTCTCCAGAAAGTGGGGGGCGGCTGGTGCTGCAGGCCGGACGGCTCCCTGGCCGGAGTAGGGCGAAAGAGAAAACAGCTTTTACCACGCCGTTTGGGTTATACCAATTTGTTATGCTTCCTTGGTGTTGTTCGGGGCTCCGGCCACTTTTCAGCATCTCATGGACCGAATATTCCGGCCGCACGCAGCTGCATGTTTGGATGACATAATCATTTATAGTAATGATTGGCAGCGTCATATGCAGCATGTGGAGGTCAGGTATATGGGCTTCCACTTGGGTCATGGACAGGTGTGTCCCCAAATTGATAAGACGGCAGCAGTTGCAACCTGTCCGTGGCCCAAGACCAATAAGGAGGTGAGGCAGTTCCTGAGGTTGGTGGGATATTATAGAAGGTTTGTACCTAATTTTTCGGACCTCTCCAACCCGCTGACTGACCTCACTAAAAAGGAAGCACCAGATCCGGTCCAGTGGACGGAGCAGTGCCAGCAGGCTTTCACCCAGATAAAGGCTGTTCTGTGTGGCGGGCCACTTTTGCACTCCCCTGATTTTCTATCCCCTTTTTGTTGCAGACTGACTCGTCGGACAGGGGGCTTGGAGCGGTCCTGTCTTAGGAGATAGAGGGTGAGGAGCGGCCGGTGCTGTACCTCAGTCATAAGCTCTCGAAGAGAGAGACGATGTACATCACCATAGAAAAGGAGTGTTTCACAGTTCTCACCCTCCACTATTATCTCCTGGGAAGGGAGTTCACTCTCCGTTCGCACCACGTGCCCCTGCAGTGGCTCCACCGTATGAAGGATACCAATCACCTGTGGATCACCCGTTGGCATCTGGCACTACAGCCCTTTAAATTCAAGGTGGTCCACAGGCCGGGGGTGCAGATGGCTGTAGCTGACTTTCTCTCCAGAAAGGGGGGGGGGCTGGTGCTGCAGGCCGGACGGCTCCCTGGCCGGAGTAGGGCAGTGGGGATACGTGGCGAGGGGGGTGTGGTTCAGGCCACTGGGAAATGAGACTGGCCAGAGAGAGACTGACTGGGACTCGTACCGGCTGGAGTGTGAATGCTGAAACTGAAGTTATATTTGGAGTTTTAACTTATGCCGAGTTGTTTAAAGCGTGTTGAGCGTGACTGATTTTGTGTTATATTGGAGAAGTCAAATAAAATACGAGTTCCAGCATAGGCGGAGCGTGTGGCCACGGGGACCTGGGGCAAAAATGCCACTAAATTGGACAAAAATGCCCCTGCACAAACAAATTAAATCTATTACGTCTGTTGCTAATAAAGTGAATATGAATAGACAGTGTCGATTGTGGCATTAAATTAAGATCTGCTCATGTTGCACCGTTTTTAATTTTAGGCGTTTTTACAGTGTTGCGCATTTGAACCAATCACACACAATTCTGTTGAGCTTAGGAATGCACTGACCAATCAGAGGCGTTCAGATGAGTAATCGTTGAAACAGATCAGTTTTGTTGAGTGCGCGTGCTGAACACTGAATTCAGGACTCTTGCGAATTCTCTCATCATTAACAACAAAGCGCAGATGGACGTACAATGTAAGTAAGAGATTAATTTCACAGTGTATACAGCTTCAGTGATTATAACGATAGTTTAGTTTTTTTGAGAGTGCTAAAACTCATGATAGATCAATGTTAGTGATAATGTCACTTTCTATATATAATTTATTCACTGTTTGAATAACCGTGGAAAGGTTTTAAGGTTGGAATTATCCATTTCTAGCGTTTTTATTAAATTGTAATCACGTTAAATACAAATTCAGTCCCATTAAAAAAATTTTTTTGCCTGCATGGCACCCATGCCTGGTCCTTGTCTAAAATGACGGGTTTATGATGTTTAATACATTTGGCTATAGCCTTACCCTGTAGTTGGTTCACACTCCACCTGTGAGTTCCAGTTACGACAACCCTGTCTTCTTCCTTCCATACACCATCCAACAACCTTGTTACACTCTGGTTGTACTTGTGCATTTGTTGCTGCTGTGAAGCAAGCCGGCCTTTCACAGAATTTTGTACCTGCTCACCAAACATAATACAGACATTTTGGGAGTAGTGTAGGAAAGAATCAGAAGCAATTAAACTTATAAGTATCTAGTTATTAGTTACTAGTTTCTTTAGAAACTGAAACATAATTACCTTGTTGAAAACTGTTTCTGTGATCCAGGGAGCATATGCACTAATATTTTTTGTAGCTCCAGCAGTAAACTCATGAATATTTATTTCAGTAAAACTGAATGTCTCAGACACCGAATATTTTGGAACACCTGCTTGAAATATCTTCGGCCGTGTCTGAAATCGCATACTATCTGAGTAGGTACTTTTTTAAAAAAGAAATTGCTTTGCGTGATTGAAACTCAGTCCCTTAAGAATATATCTTAACCATTAGTCACTTCCAATCCATTTCCAAGCTGCCGTTCTGATTTATAACCACAATGTCATCTGACAAAATGACGATACACATCAGTTAAAGACACTGGTTGTACTGTGATTTTAGCTATTTACATGTAAAATGAGCACTCAAAGAAAAGTAACGACGTCATGCTAAAGAATAAGCTACTTGTGATAATGGTCATACAAAGTCACAGTTATGTTTATACAGTTATATAACCTCTGTCATGGAATGGTAGTGAGCATCAGGTTTTGTCAAATTCTCAGAGTCATTACATTGAATCCTTTAAGCAAAATAAAACCCACAGATGTGCAGTGGTCAAAAAAGGAAAATGAATACATGAAAAGGACTTAAAAGATTTAAAAACTGAGAAGGTGTGTGGAAAATTCCCATTTGATAGGTGTAAGTCAGGTGTGGCATTAGCCTACATATTTGAAATACCGGAAATATAATTTCAAAAATGTTTAGGCTTCACCTTCTCAGAAAAGTATTATTTATTGTTATGTTTCAAAATTAACATAATGCAATGACTAATTTCTTCAATATTCTTCAATGATCAGACAGAAACATAATTAAACTGCTTTAATGTACAATTCAGCCACAGAGTGGCCTACACTTTAGTAAGTTGAAAAAGAGAGAGAGAGAGAGAAAAAAACATGATACAGCAATGACATCATAGGGTCCTGTAATAGCTGTGAGATAAAATAATTAAGCTGTCTGGTAGAAAGAGAGAAAAAAGAGAATGAAATTATTAAATTAAATTAACTAAACTAATAAAATAAATAAACTCTACATAGAACACTACAAGAAATGCAGGGAAATCTTAAGCATAACAGGTTAAATACAGAAAAAGAAGAACAGAGAGGTGAAAAGAAAGCAGACAGAAAATGAAAAGCACCCAATGGGCAAAATTAGTTGGAAATTAGCTATAAGAATAAATAATAAGCCTTGTAGGCACATTGAGAGCGTCAAAGTGAAAGACGAGTTACAGAATCAGATTACAAGATCACAGAGATTTATATGAGTGAAAGCACAGCAAAATCAGCCCAGATAAAGAATGAAATAGAGATAAAATAGGAAGAGGAACAGATAAATGGAAATAAGAATAAATCAGACAGTGAGAGAGAAAAAACAAACAAATAAAGCAGGAAATTTTAAAAGGGGGTGGAAAATGACCATCAAAGTGCAAAGGAGATTCTAGAGGCACTAAAGGAGAAAGTTTAGTAGTAGAAGAAAACAATCAAGCAAAGCAGGCAAAAAAGAAAAAGAAAGAAATAAAGAAAGGAATGAATGAATGAATGAAGAAAGAAAGAACGGAAGGAAGGAATGAAAGGAAAAAAGAAAGAAAGAAAGAAAGAATGGCTCAGAACAGTTTTCTAGAGATGATAGAAAACATTTAAATAGTCTTCAAAATAAATTTTGATTCATTTTTGATTCCGTAATTTGGCATTTAAAAATTATCTTAAAGGAACACTCCACTATTTTTGAAAATAGCTAATTTTCCAACTCCCCTAGAGTTAAACAGTTGAGTTTTACCGTTTTCGAATCCATTCAGCCGATCTCCGGGTCTGGCGGTAGCACTTTTAGCTGTAGCTTAGCATAGATCATTGAATCTGATTAGACCGTTAGCATCTCACTCAAAAAGGACTAAAGAGTTTCTATATTTTTCCTATTTAAAACTTGACTCTTCTGTAGTTACATTGTGTACTAAGACCGACGGAAAATTAAGAGTTGCGATTTTCTAGGCCGATATGGCTAGGAACTATACTCTCATTTCGGCGTAATAATCTGTATGCGTAATATCATTGCACCCACGCCTATTTTCAAAAATAGTGGAGTGTTCCTTTAAGCAGAAATGAATGCACATATAGCCTATAGTTAAGAAAAAATTAAGAATTTGAAAGCAAACAGTAAAGGGAGGTAAAGCACACAAGTTAAAATAAGCATGAAAGAACTTTAAGTGGCAAAATATAAGAATAAAGACAGAATTAGAATACAGAAGTAGCATTACTGAAGCAAAAATAGCATTTGAATGACGATAGAAAAACAGAAAGAAAAAAAGACGAGTGGACCACAAATACGGAACAGCATGACTTAACAGGAAATGACAGGAGAAAATCAGAGGAAAGTACCAAATTTTTTTGTAAAAAAAAAAAAATATGAAGATTTTGAAATAGCTGCATAAGAAAGCTGATGAATAGTTTGCATTAGAATAAAGAGATGTTTAGCTCAGAGGTAGATTACATTGAGAGAGAACATATCACCCACCTCAGTGCCATTGCTGTATCTCACAGTATTGCTTGTGACAGCAGAAAAATTACACACACTCGAACACTCCAAAGACACTCCAACACGCAGACAAGTCCTATATACATACTAGACAGGTTCAGATTTTTTTATTTCTCAGTCTAGGGGAAGTTCCACTAGAGGTATCTATCTTTGTCTATTGTTTATCATCATTCAGCAGTGCAACAATTCCAGAGTTTGTAATAAAATTAGTGTTTTGGGACTCTTTGTGAGGCCTATCATCTTCCTGTGAGGCTCGATAACTATATGATATCTTTTGATAACTTCTTTATGGTAACTTCCATATCACACCACTATTATGAAAGTATCTGTATGTACTGTACATAACAGCACCACAATCAGCTAGACACTGTCTGATAAGTATGTACTTTTCTTTTTTTGGGGTGGGGTATTTTCTTAAATTAAGAATGAAATAAATGTCCTTAAATATAATTAATTATATTTTCAGCCTAGATTAATCTTTTTCCCCAATAAATATTAGCAGTATTTACAATCTCAAGATCAAATGGTTCCTCAGCAGATAGCAGTTGAAGTCTCTTCATTTGTCAGACGTGAGTCACAGAGCTGTTTTCATTCAGTACGGAGTAAAGCGGTTGTAGCCTCCACGATACAAACTTGCCTGATTGTAAAGAAATAGAATAAATCAGACATTCCATTATATCAGTCAGTCAAGAAAGTGTTTAATTACAACGGACTGTATTCACCATGTGTGGTATTTTACATTGTAACTTACCATTGTTCCAACTCCATAAGTGGTGGTGGGTCCCACTGAGTGATGGTAGGGGTCTGTTGCTGTGGTATAGACTCTTCCATATCTTAATATAAATTAATTAATTAATTAATAGATAGATTAATTGATTGAATTGATGGATGATGGATAGATTGATTGATAGATTAAGGTTCTTACCCATCACTGTATGTGGCTGCTGCAGCTGCTGAGGTGGACTGGGCCACTCGATATGTGGCTGGATATCCTCCCTAAAGACAGGATGGTTTAAGTATTGCATTACATTTTTATTCATTCAGAAAACAATTTGAATGGGAAAACATTTTACACGAATGCTCCCATGGAGCAGCCTGGTGTTAGGCTATTAGCTTAAAAAAATCATTTTAGATTTGAAATTCAATTTCCAAATATCCAAGTAGATTAAAGGTTAGAGTTTGAGTTAGGATTTTTTTTTTTTTATACTTACACATCACACAATACAGGACAAAACAAGACACAACAGAACTAGACAGAAATGAAAGATAAAATACAATACATTTAAGAAAGAAGTAAAATTAATAATAAATAGGAAAGTAAATTAAAAAATAATAATAATAATCTATACACCTATACAAATATTCATCTGTAATATCTTAGTCAGGGGAAAATTCCATCTGGTCTATTGGTGTATTTTCCATATAAACAAGGAAGGGTTGCCAAACTGTAAAATATTTGACTTTTATTTCTTAAGTATGTTAGCTTTTCTAAAGGTATACAAGTATTAACCACATATAATCACAGATTTATAGGAATAACATCAGAATAATATCAGAGATTATCTTATAGGTTGGTCGGCTCGAATAAACCAATTGTTCCAGCTGTGTTAAACTAAAATGAGTTGGGTTTAACTCTTAGGAAGTCACGCAGCTGTAAGTAGCCAAAAAAATCTTTATTGCTTAAACTATACCTAGATTTGAGCTGTCCAAAAGACAATAACATTCCATCCTCATAGCATTTCTCTAGATAAATATTTCCTTTATCAGCCCATATTTTTAAGTATTTATTCTGAAAACATTTTGGAAGCAATCTGTTGCTCCACATTGGTGTCTTAGGGAAAAGAAACTCTTTCTGTCCAAATGTCTTTCGCAATGTCTTTTTGTTGGTTACCATTTAAATTAATTTCTCATCCCATTTATACAGCATGTCCAAGGGAACATACTCATTCAATTCAAATAATTCTATTTTGAGCCATGAAGGAATCTCTGGGCCAGATATCTGGAATGTGCTGCCCAACAGTACAATTTGAAATTTGGTCATTTTAAACCTCCCTGATCATAGTCTAAAGCTAATTGTTCAAGACTAATTCTGGGGTTTTTGCCACACCATATGAAACGTCTGATCAAACCATTAAGAGGGGTGAAAAAGAATGGTGGGATATGAATTGGGAGAGATTGAAAGATATATAAAAACTTAGGTAAGATATTCATCTTGACAGGGTTAGGAGTTAAGCTTGATAAAAAAGAAAATATTGGCTGATTAAAAGGTCAGTAAAACACTTTGGAGATCAATTCAGCTTTTTTGTAGTGTCACTCATTGGACAATTAATTTGGAGTTATTTGTAGCAGAAGTCTATTTTTGACAACAGTGCATGCCAAGATCCTGGCAGTGTATGAAATGTCACATGCATTCTCTACAGAACTCACTCTGAAACTTGCGGCCCACACCTTTAACCACAACACTACTCGTAACTCGTCTTGTGATTTTATTTTGAGCAATCAAATTTCTATCAAAACGCTCTGTAAAGTGCTGGTAATGTTCACTGGTAACTTACATAGACCTCAGCACTATACAATCCATCTTGATACACCACTCTGCAGGAGACATAAAGTAGGCAGTAAATTACACAATGGCATAAAATAAATAAAAAATACAATTTAATGTAAGCTTAATGTAAATTATACAATGACATAGGTGCAAAGAAAGGGTTACTTTGTCTTTTCAACCAATAATACCAGTATAGTGTAAATCCTAATTAAATGTGTAACAAGAGCTACTGACCCTGGATAGGCTGGTACTGCAGCTGGTGTGGCTGCGGCTGCAGCTGAGCGGATTGTATTGTAAACTGCCCGACCACGTCCACGGAGGGCAGAGCCTCTGTAGGCCAAGGTCGGTGTGGGAACAGGATAAGGAAAGCTGGCAACTATTAAACCAAACAAGTGAAAATTAGATGGCTAAACAACAAATTGCATGTACTACAGTCAGTCTATGACAGGAAATGTCTAGTAGCTATTATATTTTTAACTCAAAAATGGAGTAAAAGTCAAGATTAAAAATACCTGTGTAAAGTTCAGGGGCGTACATGGCTCCCATTACTGGATTGATTTTCCACCCAGCAGCTACAGGAGTTGACATATAGGTGAGGAGTTGAATTTTACAAACCCGTTATTTTCATACTGAAAAAGGAGTAACAAGTTTAAAACATAACATTTTGGGGCAGAATATTATGAAGGAAGCTCACTGTTCACTAATTGCGTCTGAGGCTTTTTTGTTACCACCCTCGCTGTGGCGTTGTTCACCTGAGAAGCAGAGTCATTTAGTTGTTCAGTTGTTCAGTTGTCCATTCTCCCAACACAGAAACTTATCACCCTCATACCTCAATCTTCCTTCCCTCGACAATCGTTCCGTTGAGCTTCTCTCTCGCACGATCTGCTTCCACTGCACTCTCAAATGTCACAAATCCAAACCCCTAAAGAAAGGTTTGAAATCAAATTGAATTCCAGTTGAAACTCAAATAAAGAAGCAACTAACTCACAAGCCTGGGAATCTTCTGACCTTTGATCCTCTCTCATTAAAGATGATCTCCACGTCTAGAACCTTGCCAAATTGCTGAGAGATGAAAGACAGATATTGACTAAACAGTTGACAGGTGAGAAAATGGGTTTATATGAAGGGATAATTCACACAAAAGTGAACATTCGGTCATCTTTTAGTCACCCTTATGTTGTGTCAAACCTGTATGACTGACTTTATTCTGTGAAATGCAAAAGACAAATCTTTTTTTGACCACACAATGAAAGTCAGATGGTTCCAGTTGTGTTTTGGACCCCACTGACTTTAATTGTATAACAAAAAGTTTAAACATTCCAAAAAAAATTCTTCTTTTGTGTTCTGCAAAAGAAAGCCTTACAGTTTTGGTAAACATGGCACAAAAGCCAATTGAGTAATGCATCACATTTGGGACAAACACAGACTCTCTCACCCCAAACATCTGCCTCAGGTCTGGGTCCCGAAACCTAAAAGGGATATTGGAAACATGGAGCCTTTTGGGTTGAGCCTTCCCAGCTTCTTCCTCCTCAGTTCCACTTCCAGACGCCACAGAAACACTGAGAGACTGTGGGTCAGATGTCACAGGCACTAAAGAATCGTCCTATGAGGGAAACAGGAATGAAAGATAGGGAGGGAGAAAATGTGGAGAAGGAGGCAACAGACATAGAAAGAATGAGGAGGAAGTTAAAAATAAGAAACATTAGTATGTATTTCATTACATCAAACCGTTATAACTACTGCTTATGTATTGTAAGATTTCTTGTCAAACTTATTGCAATCTAACATTTTACTGGGAGAAAAACTGTTTTTATAAAGTGACCACAACAAAACGCAAAGGAGCATTCCTCATCCAGTGATTCCTCTCAAGCAAAAGTGAGGAAATGTGTCAAATTCCCATTTTAGTGAGCTGTCTAGGTACATGCCTGTTAGACATAGACATAAAAACCACAATTTCCTTAGAGCACAATCATATTTTAACTTCAGTGAAGTAACTAAATCAGCAGCTGAAAGTCATTAAAGATTACTAGCATACTAAACAATGTGTAGTTTTATGAGCGCTGTAACTGAAATATCGTCTATGTAATGCATGGTTACACAGCATTTCCTATTGCACTGATTGTACATGACTGTGAATAAAATCCCCCCATGCAGATCAATACATAGGAGTATTTGTGCTTCAAACCCAACGCATCCACTATCCCACAATGCATCACGATGCCAGTTCGTATGTCTGCACAGCCTACCTCACCAAACGGCACATATTAAAAAATGGATTAAGTAGTCAAAAAAGGTGTATTAAAATTTTCAAAAAGAGAAATAAGTAGAAGAAAAATAGTAGCCAAGCAGAGCGTGACAAGAGGAAGGGAAAATGGTGAAAAGGTCAAAAAGAAATTTAAGTAATAAAAAAAGGAATTGTGATAGCACAACGAATCGTGTGACGTGAATTTAAAAGCAGTGGAAAAAATGTTATGCAAATGATAAGAATGGTCATTAGAACAAGAAAGAAGGACAGACAAATGGCCAATTCTTTTGCATTTCATAAGGATGGAAAAAGTTGAAGCAGTAAGGCAAAATCACCTCTGCTTTAACTCATCCATAAGGGTAAAAGGCAACAAAACTGTTCTAATCCGGGCAGAAAAATAGGGGTGCATTCGGTTCATCATGTTCCCTTCCTTTGATTCTACAGTTTTCATTTTTACCATTTTTATCATTTTTTTAACCATCATCCCAGATGTCCCTCCTGATTCACACAATATACTTTTCAAATCGATTTTTCCATCTTTCATGCTGTACATTACTATGTTGTTATGCTTATTTAATTTTCATTTTAAAACTATAGACCTATATTGTTGGTCATTTATAGATTATTGCCCATAAAAAAAACAATTGTTTATCTGTATCAGTCAGAATTTAAATATCAGTGTATCCCTAGATTTAAATATGATAAATGAAACTTTAATTAAGCTTCTCACTTTCGCTCCATTTCACCAGAAGTTGCATAATTCCTCAGTCATTCTATTTCTCTATTAAAATTCATTTCCACTGCATTGTACAATAAATAGAATCAGCATTTAGAGATAAAAGACAATAAAGAAGCAAAAAAGAGAAATGATGAGAGTAATCCTAATACGTCAAGAAGGTTAGGAAGGGTCTAGAACCGAGTGAACCCCAAAACAGAAAGCGAAAGACAGAAGCTCTAAACACAGGGGAATTCAAAGCAGCTTATGCATTTTGGCGTATAACTTTAAAGGTCAACTGCAAAATTGCAAAAATGTATACAGCTATTTTTGGAACCGGGACAGAACTTTGTATTAATAAGGAAGAAAGTGGTAGGAAACACACGTAGAGATTTACGCACAAAGACACATCCACACACGCAAACAATTCATGGTTATGGTTAACTCTGAGCTGGCCGGGCTGATTGCTAGCTGTAATGACTACCAAAGCAGGTGTCACACAGGAAATATGGCTGAAACACCATCATCATCATCATCATCATTACATTCATCCAGAGACACAGGCCAGGGAGGGTTTTTGGGAGAAGTGACAGATAGGAGGGGAAAGTTGTGATGGGAAGGTATGTGATGATATCACGTCACGATGCAGAGTGCTTTTCTGACTGGACCTGGGAAACATAGATGAGGGGGGAGGGGTCATCCCGTCCGACTCCCCCCCTTGACCCCTCCCTCCACGGCGGCGTCTCATTGTCCCAATATCTGGTGCTCTCTAGTGATATAAGCAATGTGGAAAGTGTGACAGAGAAAGAGAGCACTCATTGCATGAACCTTTTCAGTGAAAAAAAAAAATAACTTTCATGGTGAAATATTATTCTCAACCCTTCCCACAGTTCCCTTGGCACAAGCATTTGTTGTAACTTAAAATGGCCTTCTGCAATTACTGTACCCGATGAGTCATTAGTAACACAAAAATAGCAATCATACACTTGGTGATATGCATTAAACAACTTAAAGCTATGGCATGAGTACAAAAGACAATATTTCAGTAATTACAGATTGTTCTTTAAAGACAATATTTACATCTGGATTCATGGCTGACATCTCATTACTGGTGCTTTAAAAAACAAAACAAAACAAAACACACACACACACACACACACAAAAAAAAGTAAATGCATGTCTTTGCATTCATAACACCGAATTTCTTATATCAGGGATGTTTAAACTTTTTGAATTTGACTCATTTGATCGGAAAGAAAAAATACATTTTGTAGAATTTTTCTCCCCTTGCTCTCAAATTTTTGCAGACAGCAACACCATCTTGTGGCACCCTGGAGCTCCCTAGACCCAGTTTGAAAACCCCTAGCTCATATATTAACTGGAAAACACTTGATTCTGAATCTAATTCAGTGATTCAGTTTAAAAGTAAATGTAGAGTACAATGAATTGTTTCCCTGCAACATAATATTCAGACACATCACTGAATTTGTTTTTATATAAACATATAAGATTACTTCAAACTATTACCTCTTTGAAATGAGAACTAGAAACTGGAAAAGGAAGTAAGGTCAGTTTTTCTTCCATAATAAGCCTAAATATCCTTCTATATGGTGCCCTGAGCGAGTTGAACTACCATACATGGACAAGGCAAAGGAAGGATGTGTAAAGGACATAAAGATATTTTTAGCTCAGACAGGGGATCCCAGAGGACCAAAGCATGGGATTATATATCAGCAGCCTATATATATTCCTGACATACCTTCTCTAATGAAAAAATGAAAAAATTTTAAATGAATAAACGCTGATTGAACTACACAATTCACAGCAGTGGGACATTGTTTCCCAAAATCTTATTTTTTCATAGTCATATTGGCCCTGCTAGGTTTTAGGTAAATTTGAATATTTCAATATTTTTTTGTGCTTGATTTATATATTGAGTTATTTTAGTTTAGCTCATTATTTCATACGTTAAGTTGTAAAATATATGTAAAACTAATTATTTGTCTACATGTACTTTAGATGCTCCCCTCTGTTAACTAATGTTTAAAACACCATTTATCATCTGAATTCAGTCATTTGTCAATCGTTCTTACCGTGTTATTAGTAGTTATAGACTCCGTCCCGTCATGCTGAGAGCCCTGATAAACTCTCAACTGATGATGATCTGCATATTCAGAGTTTGGATGAGCAGCGCTGAAATCGAGGGGTGGCAGCCGGGCAGCAGGTGTGGGTGGGCCTTGTCCAGGTGGAGGATATGAAGGAGGTGGGGCATAGACCTGAGGAAGTGAAGGGTCACCATTGCCTGGCCCCACCTCTTGGACAGCAGCACCCTTAAATGAGACAGAGATCCTGTTTACTTACAGAAACTTACTTCTGTGAACTGTTTATTACAAGAACAAAATATGATTTGATCAATGAGTCATGGTAACATGTTTTTCAGTTACTTTAACCCATCAAAGTAATTTTACCAGTTTTACTTCACTTCTTTTTTTTCTTAAATTATACAAGATTCAGCGTGATTTTTCAAGTCTGTTTGATTATACTTCATACAGCAATAATTTCATAGTGCATATTTGACAAGTATTTTTTATTAGCAACTTATTTTTTTCACAAAAGAAATTTCTGGAAACTTCTCTAATAGAATAGACACAAAAAGCATTTGCAACAAATTCATACCACCTTCAGTTTGGTAAAATACGCAAATCAAATTTTTTTTTACCAAATAAAACTGACTTGAATTTACCAGCTATAAAGAAGCCAACATACTGTTACTGTTTTGTTTGCAGATCAAAAACACTAAACAAAACGCAGATAAACCAATTCTGACATCACGTAAAGGTCCTGACAAAAACACAACGTAGCCTATTAAAATTAGGAGTATAAATCAGACATCTCACCCCTTCAGTGCATTCCGCAGGCAACCCAATACTCACCAACAACTGACGCATGCTTTAATGCAAAGCTTTCACCCGCCCACCCCACCATAAGTCCTCGCACCCACCAATCACAGAGCACCAAACCAGTCTCAAGGGGGAACTTTACACCAGCTGTGTTCATTTGTTCATGTCAGTCATCAACCCATTTCCCCCTCCTACTCTTAGACACTCAACAGACAGACAACTGTTTGGATAAAAGTTGATTCTTACATACAAATAACTCAACTGCTCTGTAAAACTCAGTGATCGTACTCATGTTCAGTGGAAAACAATCACATTGATTTATTTATTTAAACCAGACCAACCAGATTTCTGTGACTACTGAAGTGTGTACAGTGTGCATGAAATAGATCAGGTAAAACAGGTAAGATCACTCAAACACATTCAAGTAACTGTTCGCTCCGAGTTCTCCAAACAAAGAAAATTGGAGATATTAAATTCACTCAAATACAATCTATAATACATTTTATGCAGAAATGTTAAATTATATTGATATTGTCAAGCTTTGCTTAAAAGACTTTTGTGACATAAACCTTTAATTTCAGTGTTTTCTTTTTTGTTTTTTTAGGTTTTAGGAGTCTGTTAAAAATAAAATAAAATAAAAAATAAAATACATAAAATTATGGGCAAAATAATAGATGTAAGGTAATGAAACCAAGCTCTTCACACACAGAGATGCATACACTTTTTATGTGTTTTCTCTTTATCAGCTGTTTCGCTGATAAGGATAAATTTAGACTTCCCTGATAAACTATGACACTGAGAGACACAGCTTTGATTGAATATCACAACCACACTTAGATTCCTTTAGCAGAAACAAAAGTATCATTTTACATCATGGTCTGTTTCTCATCATAGCTATTTTTCAGCATTGGGATGTTATATACAATAATTACAATGTTACTCAGTGTTTACAAGAACGTGGCATCTTACCTTCATTCCTTTTTTTAAAAAAGCCCCAGGAGCTACTTAACACCCCTGTAAAAGATTTACGATATGTAAACAGGTGTTGTCAGACCTGCGAACTGAAACACTACAGCGTTTTGAGTACTGCTGACTCAAAATGTCACCCAGTGTGCCGTTGCTGCTGGCTGTAGATCAAGTCAAAGATCACAATTAAGACTTCAGACTTTAGAGACTTTATTCAACAAGTACAAAGAGTACACACTTGGTGAGATATTTACATACACTTATAACTTACATAAACAACACCCTGCCATGTTCTTCTACAGAGGATATGGAGACTAATCATAAACATGCATGAGATAATTGTTCAAACACACTAGTTGCTATCTAACATGCAAAGGTTATCATTTGAGATTTGTAAACTGTTCTGTTTCCCGTCCTAATTCTAAGGGAATTCTGTATTTAAATAAAGCCTCTATCTAGCAGATAAAAGGTCTTTTCAAGCACACTGACTGATAGGAGATTTCCTCCCCCTCACACACACACACACACACACTGGCCCCGAGATCAGTACTGAACGATCTCTAGGGGACAACACGTGTGTGTTAGTGTTAGTGGATATATTTGATAGACAGAAACACATGTTCAGAGTTGTGTTACACTCCTTTAAATAGTCTCCCTTCCTCTTAGTTGTGCTAGTCATGCAGTAATACACAATTTAGTCCAAATGTAATGACATAGATGTTTGTCATTTGGTGTCTACTGAAACAGACAAAAGCAAACGCTACATTAAAAAGGCCAAAATGTAAAACCACAGACATCAGTCACTTTTTGTTTTGAAAATCTGATGCACTCGGTTAGGATGATTAATGCCATGTCTAGGAAAAAAAACGTAAAATACCTATGAAAGTGTAATAAAAGAGCATGTTGCCTTGCGCACATATAAACCTATCTCAAGGAAGAAAGAAAGAAAGAAAGATTAAGGCATTTACATTTTTACATTCTTCTGTTGTGAGAAGAAGAATAAAGGGACATGTTTACCTGTACAATGCTGGGGTAGCAGGAGGCTGTCTGGGGGTAGACAGGGAGTCCGTAAGGCTGAAGAATTACAGTAGGGGAGGACAGCATGGTGCATAGCCAGAAAAAAGGAACAGCTAAAAGGGATGGGAGACCGGGGAAAAAGAGAGGGGAAGAAGAGCTCTCTGAATCAAGAAAGAACCAGACTGAGAAAGTTTAGGATCCAAACAGAAGAGGAAAAAGATCCAGGGACATGAAAAAGAAAAGGAGAAGAAGAGTGGGCTGTACTGCACTAATGGCTGGTGTCACAACTTCTAGGTGATTAAAAACGAGAATTAAAAAAAATAAGAACCTATCCAAGAGTTCAGAGTGTCGAGTCTGTTTCACAAAAGGCAGAGGAGATCAGTACTGAAAGATCTCTAGGGGACAACACGTGTGTGTTAGTGTTAGTGGATATATTTGATAGACAGAAACACATGTTCAGAGTTGTGTTACACTCCTTTAAATAGTCTCCCTTCCTCTTAGTTGTGCTAGTCATGCAGTAATACACAATTTAGTCCAAATGTAATGACATAGATGTTTGTCATTTGGTGTCTACTGAAACAGACAAAAGCAAACGCTACATTAAAAAGGCCAAAATGTAAAACCACAGACATCAGTCACTTTTTGTTTTGAAAATCTGATGCACTCGGTTAGGATGATTAATGCCATGTCTAGAAAAAAAACGTAAAATACCTATGAAAGTGTAATAAAATAGCATGTTGCCTTGCGCACATATAAACCTATCTCAAGGAAGAAAGAAAGAAAGAAAGATTAAGGCATTTACATTTTTACATTCTTCTGTTGTGAGAAGAAAAAACTCATGAGAAATCTAACAAAAACATGTATTTTGCATAAAGCGAAACGTGAAAGGTGAGTGACTTTAGATTTGTTCTCTAGAAGCTCTTTCGTAGGCATATATAGCGCCTAATTATAACAGAAATGCAACACAGATACTTAAAATCATTCATGACATTGTCACAACAGTTCAGCAACACAGCAGACAAGTTACTCACTTGTAAATACGACTTCGTTTGGTCATTCATGTGCACGGAACTCGTAAATATGATATTTCCGATTCCACAGCAAGGCTGCAAGTACAAATTCTTCAGTTGTAATTATCTTTTGTTTGCCCAGTTCATTATAGCAATTTTTTTAAAATTTCCTTTGTGAATCTACTGTACATCAAAACTGTCCATGTATTTTTTTTTTTTTTATAGAAATTCGTATTTTAACCAGCAGGGGGAAGCAAACAACATTTTTACATTCTTCTGTTGTGAGAAGAAAAAACTCATGAGAAATCTAACAAAAACATGTATTTTGCATAAAGCGAAACGTGAAAGGTGAGTGACTTTAGATTTGTTCTCTAGAAGCTCTTTCGTAGGCATATATAGCGCCTAATTATAACAGAAATGCAACACAGATACTTAAAATCATTCATGACATTGTCACAACAGTTCAGCAACACAGCAGACAAGTTACTCACTTGTAAATACGACTTCGTTTGGTCATTCATGTGCACGGAACTCGTAAATATGATATTTCCGATTCCACTGCAAGGCTGCAAGTACAAATTCTTCAGTTGTAATTATCTTTTGTTTGCCCAGTTCATTATAGCAATTTTTTTTAAATTTCCTTTGTGAATCTACTGTACATCAAAACTGTCCATGTATTTTTTTTTTAAATAGAAATTCGTATTTTAACCAGCAGGGGGAAGCAAACATTTCATAAAGCGTGATGTTAACGGAAGACACTTCTAGCCGTACTCGCAAAGCTTTGTGGGTAATGTAGTTTAAAAGGCATATATAAATATCCGGGAAGACCAAACACACGTTCTCTTTCCTTTGCGAGGCTGACATAGAGAGGTAACGGCGGCACGGACTTCCGTAGTTCTCTCCTAATTTCTCACTGTTTGCAAGGTTAACATGTTCACTTAAACATTATGGAAGAGGTTATATAGTAAGGGGCTGTCTTATACGCGCAGTATCTCGTATGCAGGTTAAATTATGTTGAGATGCGAGCTGTAGCGCAACGTGTTTCCACAAGGTGCGTTCAGGCCTAGTCATGAAGCGATACCTCGGGCTCTTTTTCATATTAAATTGAATCTCTACCTTGAACTGTTGAATTTATTAAAGGTTTATTTTACTTGGAATTTGAATTGTATGATTGGAATTTGGTCCCGTAATAAAATATTTTGTCATAAAGCGTATTGTAATTACCAACACAATATATGAATACCCGCTGGGCGCTAGGGTTAACGGTTTCCCTCAGACGCTATTTCATGTATTATGTAGAAAGGGGCAGTTTTATATGCGCGGTACCTTGTTAGTAGGTTATATTATGTGGCGAGATTAGTTGTAACGTTCTGCTTGGCGCAACGTGTTTCACAAGGCGCGTTCAGGCCTAACGTCGGTCATGAAGCGACGCATTGCGCTGTTTTTCATATTAAAAAGAATCTCCACCTTGAGCTGTTGAGTTTATTGAGGTTTTTAAATTGGAATTTGAATTGCTGAATCGGAATTTGGTCCCATGATAAAATATTGATATGAAGTGTAATGTAATTACCAGTACTAGATACGTGAATGAGTGTTAAAGTATAAATGCATTACCACTCTTCATTTTTATATGAATTATTTTATTCACAGGCGTCAGTAAGTCGCCATGCCGGTTGCCAGGAGCTGGGTTTGTAGTAAGACGTACGTCACCCCCAGACGTCCCTTCGAGAAGTCTCGTCTCGACCAGGAGTTGAAACTCATTGGTAAGGAAAAAAATTAATTGCAGGAAATTAATCGACAAAGTTTTCTTTTTTTTTAAATCTGGTTTTCTTTTTCTTCTCAGGCGAGTATGGCCTCAGGAATAAGAGGGAGGTCTGGCGGGTGAAGTTCACTCTAGCCAAAATCCGCAAAGCTGCCAGAGAGCTTCTCACTCTGGACGAGAAGGATCCTAAGCGTCTCTTCGAAGGTAAGTTAGCTGATTTGTCAAACTTTTATGGCCAGTGATGTAAAAGTACATGTCAGATTTTCAGTGTTGCCAAGAATTCCTCGTCAATGAGGCCATATAACTACTTATAATAATTTAATGTCTGGTTTGCATCCATCAGTCTTCCACTTATGTTTAACTTCTACTTCTAGGTAATGCTTTGCTCAGGCGTCTGGTGCGCATTGGTGTGCTGGATGAGGGCAAGATGAAGCTCGATTACATTCTGGGCTTGAAAGTGGAGGACTTCTTGGAGAGGAGGCTGCAGACTCAGGTCTTCAAGCTTGGCCTGGCCAAAAGCATCCACCATGCTCGTGTGCTTATACGTCAGAGGCACATCCGGTAAGATGCTGAATTATGCAAGATGTGTAGAACCTTTATAGTTCAGGATTTTTAATCATGTAAACTGCATTTTCCTGTACGTGTGGGTGTGTATAATGGTTACCATCCTGGTTGTCTGAACATGTATATTGAGGTTTTCTTCCTCTTTCATTAGCTGACCATGTTTAAACTCCTCCTGGTGAGTGGGAATGAAATATTCTGCAAGGTCAATTCGGTGATTAAACCGTATACCTTTGCTTTTAAAACAAATAAGCCCATAAACTACCACTTCCCATGATGTCTGGGGTGCTTTATTGCACAAAAGTCTACCAGGTAATGTATGTGGGCACTTTGGCAGATATTGTACTGAAACAAAACTACACTTCTCTTGGCCAGTGATTAAACTCAACACTGTCAGATTGTCACCATGTTTAAACTCCTCCTGGTGAGTGGGAATGAAATATTCTGCAAGGTCAATTCGGTGATTAAACCGTATACCTTTGCTTTTAAAACAAATAAGCCCATAAACTACCGCTTCCCATGATGTCTGGGGTGCTTTATTGCACAAAAGTCTACCAGGTAATGTATGTGGGCACTTTGGCAGATATTGTACTGAAACAAAACTACACTTCTCTTGGCCAGTGATTAAACTCAACACTGTCAGATTGTTAGTGGTGTCAAGAATTCCTCGTCAATGAGGCCTCGAGATCAGCAACATCAGTTCTGAAGCCTTGAGTAGCCTTTGCACATTTGCTTTATTATTTTTCTGATGTTCTGCAGGGTGCGTAAGCAGGTTGTGAACATCCCCTCCTTTGTGGTGAGGCTGGACAGCCAGAAGCACATCGACTTCTCTCTCCGCTCTCCGTATGGTGGTGGCCGCCCTGGCCGTGTAAAGAGAAAGAATGCCAAGAAGGCCCAGGGTGGTGGTGGAGGCGGTGATGATGAAGAGGAGGATTAAACCCATTCCTCTCAGGGGGGTGGAGGGACTCAGCAGTGCTTGTTTTTTCTCTGCTCCCTCAAGGTTTCAATAAAAATTGTTTCTTCCAAATTATCTTGTCTTGTCATTTGAGTCAAACTGTTAACAGTTTATATGAACTGTTATAAGTAGGTTCATTCAATGTTTTAAACTAACTATCCATAAATGTTTAAATGCAATGTTGCATTAGCTTTATTTCATGGACCATAGTGAAGTATCACTTTAGCAAATTAACTGCATGATCCTTGAGACCATGTTCTATAATGGACCCAAACTAGACTAAGGGTTTTGTTGCAAAACATTTGATCGGTGTTACTTTGACTTTGAGTTACATTGTGTGAAGTGTATTCCTGTGTAGGATATGGTAAATTAAAGTTCCAACTCATAATTCCTGTGAATGTATGAGATTTGATTAATTAGCTGCTACAGGTAAACAACCTGAAGAATGGCAAAATCCAGTAAATGCTAAAACTATTTGTGCTGCAAACCAGTGTTTGTGGTTCCATTTTATTCTTAAATACTAGTTTGTAGTTTGAAACAACATAACAGGCAGGGACCTTGTAAGTGCATTAAAAACAGAAAAGTCTAAATTGAGTAATACAGAATTTATTTCCCATTGTGAATCGAGGTGAATTATATTTGAAATACACATTTAATCAGTTTACTTGATAAATTGCAAAAAAAAAAGTTCCAAGTCCAGAAATGAAACCCACCTTCACTGAGATGTCAGCTATGAGCAGCCATTGAATCATTTGACTATGCCACTTCAAAGACATTCAAATGATAATGTACAGTATCTGAAATCATATATATTCATATCTTTCTGACTGCACTTGCAGCTAGTAACATCTTGCACAAAGTTTTAGTTCAATTATTTATTGTTCTTTGCACTCTTCAATGGATCTTGAAGTCTGTGAAAGGCACTGCATGATCCTTGAGACCATGTTCTATAATGGACCCAAACTAGACTAAGGGTTTTGTTGCAAAACATTTGATCGGTGTTACTTTGTGACTTTGAGTTACATTGTGTGAAGTGTATTCCTGTGTAGGATATGGTAAATTAAAGTTCCAACTCATAATTCCTGTGAATGTATGAGATTTGATTAATTAGCTGCTACAGGTAAACAACCTGAAGAA